AGAGCTACTGCAAGCGATTTTTAGTGCTGCAAATCCATTTATTCTTTGCTGAAACTTCCGCTCTTCATGAAGTGCACAGGTCATGGTTGCTTAGCAACGGCAGACGCCTCTGGAGCGCAAGCGCCCGAACGCTTTGGGGGAAAAGCAGAAACCTAGCGTTTTCCACGCGTTTTTAGGCGCGATATGTGAACGGCCCCTAAGTCATTATAATCCCCAATTATGTCCCCACTGGATGCAACAAATGCCTAATTTGTAAGGGGTTTTACTGGTTTTGTCTCGTCCTGCTGGGAGACGACATCACAGTATGGTGAGGGGCGTAACATTTCCGTCACACGCTTGAGGTATTCGGCCAATCACAACGCACTGGATAGCTGGCCAATCACAGCACACCTCGCTTTTCAGAACGATGAGCTTTGTAAAAATCAACGCATTTCAGAAAGGCGGGGCATAGAGGAGAAACAATAATGTACAGTATGTGGAAAATAATGTGTTTTTTTAACCTTAAACCACATAAACACATTTCATTACACCAAATACACAAAATAATGTTCTTTTTTTAGCAACATCATATGACCCCTTTAAAATGCCCAACTTTACAGCAGAAAAAAATATGTTTACAGCCTGGTACAAAAAGTGGTTTTGGTCTATATAATAATAATAATAATAATGTACTGCGTTTTCTTTACTCAAAAAGAAAAAACAGGAAGAGATCTGGGGCAAGTTCAAGCTCAAACCCATTGCGCAATCTTTTGCTACTGTTTCCGGTTTGACGACATGTTTCCTGGAAACGGTGTGCAACGGGGTTTGAGATACGTTTTCTCTTGTTTGGTGGGTGTGTCAAAAATGTCAGCCCAATCAGCAGCAACATGTATATAAACCACGCAGTATTAAAGCAGCACTATGTAACTTTTGGCGCTCTAGCGGTTAATAAACAGAACTGCACACATCCCGCGGAAGAACATTCCAACTGGATCTACTTCTCTAAGTTTATGTCTATGGCGATTCACGCAGGTATGTGTTACTCCGCCGCGGTGACGACCCGACCAGGCTAAAATAGTCCAAATATAAGCACTTATTATAAGTGTGCCGTAGTGATTCGGAATAAGACAAAAACGTGGTTTGGAAGATGAATTCATGATGTACTCGCTCATTATATACATTTAGCAAATTTTGAGCACAGAAAAAAATGACATAGTGCTGCTTTAAAGAGACAGCTCGCACAATGTCATTAACATCAAAATAAATTCACAAGAGCAAGTATATTGTTTGCACATGTTTATTTACATTAAAGGCAAAATAACTGAAATAATAAGAGCATATGTATAGATCTGGAACTTCTTTAAGTCTGTCTAAATATCGTTTAGTAATTGCTAACCACAGTTGGTGGTTGCCATTGACTTCCATAGTAGGGAAAAAATACTATGGAAGTCAATGGCAACCACCAACTGTTTGATTACCAGCAAAATATCTTCTTTTATGTTCAACATAGGAAAGCAACTCATACAGGTTTGGAAAGACATGAGAGTGAGTAAATGATGACAGAATTTTCATTTTTGGGTGAACTGTCCCTTTAACGCTCTTCAGAAAGCTAAGGGTGAGGTCACTGACACTATGTCCATGTTTTTATACAGTCTATGCATTAGCTGCTTTTAGAGCTGCTTTTAAATATTTTATTTAATTATATATTGAAGAAAATATTATATATTAAAGATTTGTAATGTTTTTTTAAAGAAGTCTCTTCTGCTCATCATGGCTGAATTTATTTGACCAGAAATACAGAAAAAACTGTAATATTGTGAAATATTATTGCAATTTAAAAAAAACTGTTTTCTATGTCAATATATTGTAAAATGTAATTTATTTCTGTGATCAAAGCTGAATTTTCAGCATCATTACTCCAGTCTTCAGTGTCACATGATCCTTCAGAAATCATTCTAATATGCTGCTTTATTATCAATATTGAAAATATTTGCTGCTTCATTTTAATTTTTTGGGGGGAACCTGTGATACTTTTTTCAGGATTCTTTGATGAATAAAAAGTTAAAAAGAACAGCATTTTTTCAAAATAGAAATCTTTTGTAACAACACTACCATTCAAAAGTTTGGGGTCAGTTTTTTTTCTTCTTTTTTGAAAGAAATTAATGCTTTTATTCAGCAAGGATGTGTTAAATTGATTTAAAAAAAGTGATAATAAAGACTTATATTGTTAGAAAAGATTTCTGTTTTAAATAAACGCTTTTCTTTTTAACTTCATTCATCAAATAATCGTATCACAGGTTCAAAAAAAAAAACATAATAAATCAGCATATTAGAATGATTTCTGAGGATCATGTGACACTGAAGACTGGAGTAATGGCTGATGAAAAATCAGCTTTGCATCACATAGCCTAAATAAATAATATTTTAAAGTATATTAAATTAGAAAACCATTATGTACTGTGTAAATGTATATAATGGAGCGAGAGCTCCAACTGTTGTACACTTACAGAAGCCGAAATCCATGCAAAACTTCAAAAGTACCACAAAGAGTCGCTGTGACACCGCATATGAACGCGTTATTTAAAACTACATTACCCATAATGCAAAGCGAAGGGCCATTAAAAAAAATCGAGCCTGATTAAAAATGAACGTCACACCAAAGTCAAGTGATCTATTGTTATATAAAAACTGTACGATTTTGCACGTTTAAAAACTCAATATCAAAAATCAGAGCTCTATGGAGCTGAAAGCCAACTCATTTGATAAAAGGAAAACCGACATATCGGCATTCAATCAACACAGCAATTTTACAATTCAATTATTCATGTTTTTTTTAACATATACACGTAAAAAGAATAAAAAACGGAATAATACGGAAACATATTTTAACTGGGAATAGTGTTTTTCTCTTTTTAATGAAGGCAGATTATTGGGCACGGGCAGCGCGTGTCGAATCAGTCCCAGTCAGACCGACAAGAACGGGAGAGGGAGGACACGCGCACACCGGATCACCGGGACCGGACACACACATGTGACATACGGTCATATTTATCGCTCATCTGAGATACGAAAGGGGTTTTTATCATGAGCGAAATATGAGAATGAGAGACATGAGCATAGATAGATAGATAGATAGATAGATAGATAACGTTAGCGCTTAATAAATCCTATTTTAAGTCCATTATTTTATTATATTTATATTAATTTGTTCGTAAGTTATTAGATTCTTTTTGCTGTAATGAATCAGTTTTTTTTTTTTTAAACCAACGTAAATCAAAGCAGAACTGCCGTGATGAAAAATTTTATTTGGTATAGTTATTCTTTCTATTTTATAGTCATGAGAATTAGATTTGTTCAAAAGAGGTCATGGGGTTAAATGTGCTTAATTGACATGAAAACAGTGTCCCAACGCACAAAATATTAATAGTTCTAAAAAAAACTTATTTTCCATAATCAGCATGACTCTCTTTTAAAATCTGTGGTGAAATATGTCTGGGGTCTTCTTGACAGGTTTTGGGAGATTGACCCATGTAGTTGCTTTCAGCATCAATACAAAATTGTGATGTTTGAGTTGTTCTCTCTTTATTAGCGCTCTATTTTGACTGCTTTAGTTTTTGTCTGTATATGATTGTAATGCAGCTGATCTCTGATGATCAGGTTACAAATGTGAAACAGGTGTTCAACAGTAGATTGGATCAGAGAAAAGATTGATCCGTTGATCCGTCCGAGAGGATGAGGAGCGGAGAGAGGGTGGTGTCCCGTCCGTCTCATCTCTGCCTGGTGGACATCTTTATCTCTTTATCCTGGACAGCCGCTGTCAGTCCCGACGCCCGACAAATGCTCTGTTCTGCTTTTAAGCTCGTTAATAGCAAACAGGGCGTCAGTAATGTCTTTTTAAAGGTGTGCACTTGATTGCTGCTTTGTGTTTACAGTAATGCATTTACATTGTAAGTCTGTGAATAAGACATTCTGGAGGGTTTAGGCAGCACTCATATGTTAATTTTTTAGTGGAATATGTCAAGGTCCATGTCAGTTTTGTCATTTCACATTGGAATTGATAAAAGAACTAAACGCATATTTTTTATGTTTTTGAAACAAGTCTGTTTAGCATTTATTTGATCAAAAATACAGTGAAATTATGAAATATTTTTACAATTTAAAAGAACTGTTTTCTATTTGAGTACGTGTTGAGATGTAATTTATTTCTGTGATCAAAGCTGAATTTTCAGCATCATTACTCCAGTCTTCAGTGTCACATGATCCTTCAGAAATCATTCTAATATGCTGATTTGCTGCTCAAGAAACATTTCTGATTATTATCAATGTTGAAAACATTTGAAGCAGTTGTGCTGCTTCATGTTTCTGTGGAAATGGTGGAAATGGTTATATGCTAGCACCATTCAAAAGTTTGAGGTAAGTGATATAAAAAAATAAAACTTATTCATCAAACAAATCAAATGTGAC